CCAGGACCACCTCGTGCTGTTACCATCATTGTGCTGCTTGAGCGCCTCTGTGAGGTGACAGCAATGGCGCCGCCTGCTGCTGCTGGTTGCCCTCCTCGCTTCCCTGGCGCTCCGTGGATCAACCCCCAGGGTGGAGGGCGTTGGACATGTGGCGCATGCGGCTGTCACAAGAACAAGTCTGTGTGGACATAATGTAAGCATTGCAGAACGACCAGATCGGACGTCTCCTCTGCGCTGCCGCCAGGTGCTCGAGGTGTTTGGCCTCAAGAACTACCTCACCACCCATCTTTCCTTCCAGGGCAACGCTTCAGTCTTCCTCTTCGCGTTTGTCCGCAGTTTGATGCCAACTGGGGACAGTCAGGCCCTGGCCATGGAGGGGTAGCTCCAGCTTCACAACCTACGTCAAGCCCCGCGTCGACGGAGGAATTGGAGAAGTTGGTCGTATTGCTGGAGGGCTGTGGAGACAATGCTGGAGCTTCGCGTCATCGTCAGGTTTTGGACCAACGACGGCACCAATCTAATCATACGGTTCCACTGCAGCAGAAGATCAACCAGGCCGTCAACCACATGCGTGCGCTCAGGAACAAGACAGAGCACGCGCGTGCGGCCTACGTGCGAATGGAGAAGGAGCTGGCCTGCCAGAAAGTTCGTGTGTCAGAGCTCTCCCTGGATCTGGTCCAGGCGGAACACTATCGGGAGCCTTGAGACGGGGGTCATCCTGGGCACCGGATCTTGCAGGATCTTGCGAAGACCCCCTCTGGCTGACCCGGAATAGCGAGCCGCTCGTGGCCGCGATGCGGCCGCGCATATTGATTGACCCGGGTTTGCGAAGACTTGCGTTGCAGTTTTTTTCCTGCATTTCAGTTTTTTGGTTTTCTGCCGACCCGGGCCTGGATTGACCCGGGTCAGAAGATCCCCGACAATAACACGACAAGCTTGTGCAGGTGCTCAATCGCGAGGTGCTTGGTTCACCGCGCGAGGAGACAGCCAAGCTTGACATCTATTTCAGTCTTGCTGTCGAGGCCAGCGACATTCCCATTTCTATCGATTCTCTGTTGGTTCCATATGAGATCTACGAGATTTCGGGGAGTTGCCTTGAGGAGGCCAACGAGCGCGCCGCCGAGCTCAAGTCTTGCCCGCAGGAAGCCGCGCGCAACCTGTTCGGCAAGGCGGCGGCGAGGGCGAAGGCGTTCCAGGATGAGCAGAGGGCCGTGTTCGCTCGGCTCGCCCGCGGCTAAACGTCGTCGGCTGGATGCTGACCCAGCTGCTGGCGGCGACGAGCAGCCTGCGGGGGCGGCCCCCCCCCTGCGGCAGAGCCAGGAGCAGAGGTTAGCGCCGAAGCTTCGGAGGACGGCGCGCCAGCTGATGAGGGGCCAGAGGATTCACCCGTCGAAGCTTCTGCTCCCCAGCCCGATGTTCACGCTCGTGCTGCTCAGATCTTGTAGCCTGGCAAGTCAAAGCCGGTTCCGCCCACTTCCTGGCCCAGGATGCGCGCGCGACGCGATCTACGTCACCGAGTAGTTCACGACGGCGCGCAGATGCCGCGCCCCTTGGTGAGTGAGACCCGCAGCCAGTCTTTCTCTTCCCTCGGCGAGCTACTGGGAATGTATACGAGCCCGGGGGCAGACCCAGGGAGCCCCCTTTTTGCCGATGATTGCCTTTCATCTGGCCTCAGAACGCGCGTCAACGTTGACACTGCAGAACGCGACGTCGGTGCGCGACGTCAAATGTTTGCTGGTTGCGTCAGCTTCTCCGCCTGCCCATGTTCTGAGCTGTTCCCATTCACTTTCGCCTCGTTCTTCGTTCCCAGGGCTTTTTTTCCTGGGCGATGAGACGGGCGCTTGCTAGGGCTAGGGCCAAGGGTGTCCTTCAGGCTGGCGCTTTCCCTCTTCCTGTAAAAATGGCATCGAGGAGCCCGGCGGCCCCTGGGAATGCTGATGCCGAGGGGTTTTCCCGTTGAAGTGTCTGTCCTGTGATCGAGACCCGTGCTGTGACGGTTTGGGGGTCTGGTCAGTCTTGGTTGGAATGCGCGAGTTCACATGTCGCCCCCCTTCAAGAACTTGAGCTGCTCGACCATCAGATGGCCAGCGCTTCCAGTTGGTGTGCTCGCAACGCGTGGAAAAGCCCATGGGCGCCAGCAGCCATTGCTCCAGGAGGTGGCGCCTCAGCAGGCGCGGCGGTTATAGTGCGCAGTGGGCCTGGCCTTCGCGCCCTTCCTTCTGGAGACGAGCTGGTCGCGAGCTCGTGCTGTTGCGGGAGTCGTCGGACTCCCAGGCGCCCCCCCTTCCATCCTCGTTGCGTCGGCCTATGTCCACGACTGTGAGGACCTCTCGGATCGAAATTCGCCCCTCTTGTCGTCTTGTGCGTCGGTCAGCAACGCTGTGGGCGTGCAGTTTGTTAGGAGGGGGCCTTAACATGGGCCCGATGCCACTTCCCTTGCTGGCATCCTTGGCCATGATCTCGTCGAGATTCGCATCCTTGCCTCTGGCGAGCACTCGTGCCGATGCACTGGAGGTCTTAGACATTGCGATGATTTTAAGGCTAGCTGGGGCTTTGCGAAAGGAGTGGCTTCTGTTTCCCCCGTTCGCGTCACTTACCCGTCCCCCTGCTGCCCGTCAGCGCGGATCTGCTTCCGCACCTTGGTCGTCCGAGTGCCTGGCCTGTCGACAGCCTCCGCCGCTCCCTGCTCAGGCCCTATCCCCCCACGATGGCGGTTCCCTCAGCGAAGAAGGTTGCTCGCTTGCCTTCTTTACTAGAGTCGGCCCAGCTCCAGGCGAGGCGCAGTGAGTTTTCGGAAGTCCAGTCTACGTTTGACAAGAGGGTACAAGTTGTGGGCCAATTGTGCCGAACAAGAAGTTGCGGCTGCCACTGGCGCCAAGTTGGCTTTCCAAGGTGCCAGAGGCAAAGACCCGCAGGTGATCTGGGAGCCCATCTTGCCGGCTGCTCAGCGGCCCCCGTCGTCTGAGCATGTTCCTTGCAAGTTGTATCGCTCGGGCCGAGGTGCTCGCGGGGTTCATCTGGCGGTTATGGGCGCTACCGGGTGGAACCCCGCCGCCGCGCTCAGCTGCGACGGCGGCGCGGTCTGTGATCACCTCTCGTTTTTGCAGGCTGAGCGGAAAAAATGGCTGCGCTTTGTGGGGATGGGGGACAACATGTTTGGTTTCAGCACGCAGGACCTCCGCCTGCGCTCCCTCCTGTCCTCGTGGGTGCCATCCGCGCTTGTGCTCGAGGTTTCAAAGGGGACACTTCGGTTGCGACTGACGGATTCCAGAATGCACCACTTTAACAGGATGAGTGATGATGCGTTGTGGTCCCTCTCTCTCGTTCTCAGTGCCATGGACTTGTCCGCAATTGTGCCCAGTCAGATCGCGATTATGTTGCGGTCTCCCATTCCGAAGGCCACGTTTTGTTTTCGGCCGATTGGCAACGTTTGCGCCCTGTGCGCTACCTGTGGTTGTGTACGTCTGCCTTTGGCCCAGGTCTGGGAAAACCGCTTCCTTCGGCCTTATGTAGCCGCGGGGCCCTTTGAGCGGGGTGCAGGGCGCGGTTTGGGGGCAGGCCTTGAGGGCCGAGTTTAGTGCGAAGGCTAAAGGTGAGGCGGCCGCGGTGTTGCTTGATATGTTTGGTTCGTACGAAACGATCGACCGTCGTGAGCTTCTGCATCGTCGTCGCTGATTGGGATTCCCTTCAGGCATTGTTAACCTTGCTGTGTCCATGTCTCTTCAGGCCGGGTGGTTCAACTTGGCGGGATACGCCGATGGCCCCTACTGGGCAGTGGGAAGAATCGTGGCTGGGCTCAGTTTCGCGCCGCGGCTCTCATTCGGGTGCGCGCTCTCTGTGCGCTCGATAAGTTGCAGTTCCCCGTGCAGGTTTTCTTTCAGTTTTCTACCCGCGTTTCGGGATTCTCAGCCGCGGGCTTTAAGGCCCACGTCCTCACCCACCTTCCCCCTGCCGCGGCGGCCCCCCCATAGGGCTTTAGGGGAAGGGGTGGGAGCTGAGGTGTCTGATGGTCCTGGCAAGCGTTCGTTGATTTGCTCGTCTTTGGACCTGGGCCGTGAGCTTGGGCGGGGGCTTGGTGGTCTGGCTGGCCCCATAGCCCCCAGCGCTGGGATCTTAGGCGTTGCCGATTGCGCTGGTGAGCCCCGCAGGTGCAAGGGGGACCTAACATCGCCAGGATATCTTGTTTTCGGCTTCCCAGGTTGCGACCCGCAGTCGGTGGGCGCATCTCTCGAAAAAGCGTTTGCTTCTGGACCCATGGCCTCGAATCTTTTTTGGGCTGACGTTCGCGGGGTCACGGATCACGAGCTGCTCACCTTTCGTCGTCAGGCGGCGTCAGCGCTCCAACCCTCGGCGCGTGGGCGTAGCCTCACGTGTCTTTTGCTGGCTCACCAGGGCCCGCGCTGGCTTGCGAGCGTGGCGCTCAAAATCAGGTGGGCCAAGGAAACTTGGACTTCGCACCTCCATCTCTACCCCCACTCCATTTCGCTCGTGGGGATCCGCGCTGCCGGGGAGGCAGGTTTTCGGGCGAATCCCCGCGGTGGCGATCTGTTGCTGGACCTGCTTGTGCGCTTAGGGACTCCGGTGAACGGATTTCTTTGGGCATGCCGTCCTTTGCGGTCTTACCAAGTGATCAGCGTCAGTAAATCTCGTGAATTGTTTTTTTTCCCCGCGCTTGGTTAAAATCCTCCTCAAGAAAGCTGTCCTGCGCGGCCTTGGGTGGGGCCTGGGTGCCCGCTCTAACGTGAAAAGCAGAGCGTTTGTTGACGGCGTGACTTCCCATCTGAACCCGGGTCGGTTCAGTCCACTTCCAGAGAGGATGTATCCGTGCTCTCTTTTGCGGTGCCATCTACACCCGAGCTAATGCTGTAGGTATGGGGCACGCGGTTGACGACTCGTGCCCTTTGTGTCAGGAGGCGCGCGACTTGTTAAGGCACAGGTTCTGGGAGTGCGTTGCCGTTGAGGATGAGCGTGCTGCTCTGGTTAAGCGTGCTGTGCGTAGACTTGCTTGGGGCGCTGATGAAGTTCCAGCTTGTTTTTGGGGGTCCTTCATCGCCCTGGAGATCTGGGTCCTGGTCCCGCTTCTTCTGGAGGTACTGTCGTGGAGTTGGTAGGAGAATATGGCGATCTTCCCATGGATGTCTATGGAGATATTGTTGCTGATGGTTCGTGTGCGCGGAGGGTCATCCACCGGCTTGATCGTGCCAGCTGGGCCTTGAGCGCGTGGTGCCGTTCTACAGGTCTCGAGAAACGCAGGGTTAGCGGCCCTGCGCGGGCTCCGTCGCCACAGGCCCCGCAGGCCGCCGAGTTTCGCGCCTATAGCATTGCCTGTCAGTGGTCTGATGGCCGCAGCGAATCGCTCCTAGATTGCCAGAATTGCGCAGGCTTTCACGATATGCCTTTCGAGGCCCAGTGTTTCCCGAAAAGGCGTTATACGGGTGTTACTCAAGTTTGTCGCCCTTTTTCGCGCAAGTGCTCGGACCGCAAGGTTCGGGCCCACCAGGGCTTGCGCGCGCACGAAGACGATTTGGCGAGGCATTGCTGCGATTGCAATCGCGGACCGAAGGTCTGGCTAAACAGGCTTTAGCTCTGCGTCCGTCGCCTGGCCCAGTGGTGGCTGAGAAGGTCGATCGAGATCTGTTGGTTGCCAAAGCTGTCGGGGATTTGGCGGCTCAGAGTTTACCTCTCTGGCCGAGGCTCGACGTGGGGCCCGATGTGGAGAGAACTCCCGACCCACCTCGGCCATCTGTTGTGGGGGCTGCTCACACCTGGGTTTGGGTCGGATCTTTTTGGCAGTGTCGTGAATGCCTGGGTGGGCGTTGCTCCAGGTCCCTTGGAGGGCAGCCGAAGGCGCTCATGGACCTTGAGCATCGTCGCGTTGTAATTTGTTGCTCTGATGGGCCATTGTTGTGTATCTGCCAACGTTGCAGTTACATGACTTCAGGCGTGCGCTTGGCCAATCTTGGGAAGAAGTGTACGCCTGGCAAGTCTCAGTGGAGCCCGTGGTCCAAGCTTCAACGTGGATTCCATCCTTCTGTGAAGAAGAAAGGGGCCACTGTTGACCTCGACTCGGTCTGCCCTGTTCATGCCTCCCCTGGACATGCTGCTGCTCCTGTCCTGTCTGCTCCCTTCGAGCTCGAGTGCACTGTGGATCCCGAGCGCGGCTGGGGAATTGGCCTCAGTCTAGTGGGCGGGACCGGGTGGGTGGTGGGTCCGTGGGTGCCAGCAGCAGCTCCTCTGGTGCGATTGAACAGGGACGGGTCGGCCTGGCCAACTGTCTCGCCCTTGGAGCTGCGCATGATTGAGGAGGAGGAAGCGAATGCCTTTTCGTATTGCGGCGACGATTCGCCACCTCCTGTTGCTCGGTCCTGCGCCGCGTTTTGCGTTTCTGTTTCCAAATATCGGGCGGAACACGAGCAGCCATTGATCCGAGCCGATTCCCCGAATGGGGATTCGGGCTCTCCTGATACATGTTTGTGAATTATGTTTCTGTCCTGTTTGGTGCCGTCGCCTACTGGTCAGTGTCAGATCTGACTGCAGTCCCTCCTCCTTCGGGGAATACAAGTTTCGGAGTTGTTTGCGTCGCCGTCGCCTTTTCCACTCATTTTCTTTTGTCCCCTGGGGTGGAGTCGCCCGCCCCCCAGTGGTGTTTGTGCGTAGCTGTAGCCGTTGATGGCAACAAAACACGTAGTGACATGGGCTGGGGCGTGGGATCCAGCAGGATCTTGCAGGACCCTGCAAGGACCAGCTGACCCGGGTTGCACTGACCCGGGTCGGTAGATCCCCGAGGAGGTCCCACGTGCGGCGTTTGCCCAGGACGGGGCCTCCTGGCGTCCCGCGCCTCGCCCCTGGGGGGCCGACCCTTCGCCTCGAGCCGTCTCGCGACGGGCTCCGGGGGCCGGGCAGGCCCCGAGGTCGCCGAGCATCTTTCGCCCAGCGTTGGCGCCAGACTCGCGGGCGAGGTCTCGGCCCCCCGCCCAGGCTTTTCGCAGGACAGGCCAAGCTGCTCAGGCAGGGAGGCTCTAGGCCTCCCAAGTGGGGTCGGAGTGGAGGGGGTCGGAGGATCGCTCGGTATCGTTGATGCATCGGAATTGCGGCTCGTTGCGGAAAGCCCGATTGTGTCCACGCCGACGGCGCCGATGCATCAGCGACGTCGCCGATGCACTGGCGATGCATCGGCACTGTATCGGCGATGCGGCGCGATCCTCCGACCTCCTTTAAGGAGGCCTGTAGGCTCCAGGAGGAGAACTCGCGTGTACACTCCCAGGGGGCTATTCGGACGCATGCTCCTATCGTATCTCCCCAGATTGGGCTTCACATGTTTGGACCCTGCGAAGACCTCACGAAGTCGGGACAGGGGATCGACGTATCGTCCGTCAAAGTCGCTGGATGTCTGAGGGCACCTCGGGCTAGGGCCACCCCCGGCTGCACCCGAGCCTGTAGGGCCCGAGGCTGACACGGGGACAGCCTTGCCCGATGGCGCGGCGGCGGTGGCGCTCGGAAGAGTTGCCCTCCTTCTCCTCGTTCTCGTCCTCGTCGTTCTCCTCCGCTTCCTCCTCCGCCTCCTCCGCTTCTCCTCCTCCTCCTCCTCCTCCTCCTCTCCTCCTCCTCCTCCTCCTCCTCCTCCTCCTCCTCCTCCTCCTCCTCCTCCTCCTCCTCCTCCTCCTCCTCCTCCTCCTCCCCCTCCCCCTCCTCCTCCTCCTCCTCTGGCCGGGCAGGGAAAGGGCGGAGGGTTCGACATTTGCTGCGTACAGTCAGTCTCGGCCCCGCCGCCGGGCGTATTCCTCGAGGCACTGGGCGCATTGCCGGGGAAGCCAGCTGCGTTAGGTTCGCGTCGTGACGACAGGGGGCGACCCGCCGCCGGCGTTCAGCGTTGAACGCCGCCGGCGACCCAGAATCGGTGGGTGCTGAATAATCCGACGTTTCGGAGACGGCCGCTCGTTCAACGTGGACCGATCCCCGCAGTGTCAGGAGTCAACGCCAGGGTCGGCACGATACGAACATGCTGTACGTGAGCTGATTCGCTAGTCCTCCTTTTGCGAAACCCACCCTTTCGTCTGCCCGATCTCCCTCGCCATCGCTCTCTCCGCGCGCGCTCTGTCGTCGCCGTCGCTCGCGTCGCTGCGGTCGTTCGTCTGTCGTAGGGTCAGCTTCGATCCGATGGATCCGATTTGATTTCGATTCCGCATCCCGACGTTCCGACGGTGCGATGCGACCCGATGCTTGATAGTTACGGCTCATGTTCGAAGCGAGCCGAGTGACAATGTCAAGGGGCACCAAGCATGATGACCTCGTGAGCCCGCCGATCTCGGATTCTGAACGCGACGCTTTCAGGCGTGTTGCAGGATTTCCGCGAGCTCCGAGCCAACGCAGCGGCAATGTGAAGCGAGCACAACAGGACATGCGGCCCGGCTCAAGCTCCCGCCCCGCTACCGCCCGCGCGGTCTTCTAGCCCACAAGCCAGGGCCACCAATGAATATTGGGACCGTCGGCTTTACTTGTCTGACGCTTGCTCTCTGAGACTTCAGGCGTCTTCCTTATGTTCATGGCGTGGACCCTGGAGTCTCGACTCTTTCCCCAGGGTCAGTTTTTCATCGCGGGCAATTCCTGTTGCTGGTCCCATAGCCCGAAAGTGGTAGACGCCAGTTGTTTGTCGCGATGCAGGAGGTCAGGACTTGATGAGACGCCATCTTCGACTACGTTTTGATGTTTTCGATGGTGCTTTGATATTCTGGCGGTTCTGGCTTTTCGCGCGCGTGCGCCAGGGACGGGCGCGGCGTCGTGCTAGCCATGGAGTTGTTCAATAAGTCACTACCCCCCTCGCCGCCTCCCCCCCCCTCTAGCTCCTCTCCCTCACACCCCCCCTCCTCTTCTCCCATCGTTCTCTGGTAAATTGATCGGGGAGGAGGGGGAAGGAGGAGGAGGCGGCGGCGGAGGAGGAGGACAGGGTGCTGAGAAAGAGGTCGGTGCTTGTGCTGTATGCTCGCGTGTTCGTCACGCTGCTCTGCAGTCGGTGGTCTGTCGACCGCGCGGTATACGTCTATCAGTAGTTTGAACATGCTACCAATAGGTTTTAATTCGTGGGAAATCATCAGAACCCCCAAACAATAACTCCTACTAACTCAAACCCCATCGCTGGAACCCTCACACGGACTGAGTAATTTGCCAGATTGTTTCAAATTGTTGCTCGTTGACCTGGGTGGGTACGGTATGTTCATCTCGTGTCGACGCGGTGGAAACCTTAGTGCGGTCGTTCAAGATTGGACGCCGCCACTGGCCTGTAATCGGCCGACATCGAATTACCCACGCTGTCGGAAAGGTTCAAAGCTGAACGATCCGCGCGGTGCCGCCAGCCAGGGCCAGACGCTTTGGACAACTTGGGGCCAGACGAAGTGGCACAACCGAGCCCAGGTCGCCCCCTCCTGCTTGGTCTGGTTGGGGTTCCCCTCCTCCTCATACCACTGCACATGTTTGGCCAACTGCTCGCGTGTTGCCAGAGGCGGCCACAGGCGATGTGATAAGATTTCCAGAGGACATGTCTGCGATATCGATGGCCGCGCCCACTGCGTCGCCCTGCCCGCGGCCTCGCCGCGGCCTTCCCTCGGCGGGCGCGTGGGCCCAGAGTTGACCCCCGGACGTGTCCAGGGCATTGCGTTCTGACCAGGACTCCGAGGCGGATCCAGCCGCGGCGACGAGGGGCCTCCTGGAGGCCCTGTGGGGTGGCCCCATGTTTCCCAGGGATGCCCGCGTGGCTTCTCCAGAACGCCTCTCGCGGGACCGGCAGGGCCTCCAGCCGTTCGCAAGCGGGGCGCGACGAGCCAGAGGCACCTCGGGCCGGAATCGCCTCGTGCAGCCTCCGGCCCGAGGGCAGGGCTTAAAGCGGTGAGGCCGCTCGCCGTTGTTGGCCCTCCGCCGCCGCCGCGCAGCCTCAAGCGGCGGGCACAGATCGGGCGCACACCTGATTGCGCGTGTGGTCGGAACGCGGGGCTTACCAGGGCGTTGCCGTCAGATGACAAAAAGCCAGACCTGAAAGCGAGTGTACGCCACACCATTGGTAACACACTGCGGCCCTGCCATTCTGAATCGCGCTGTGGCCCAGGGCGACGCCAGTCGCCTCGGCGGCCTCTGGGGAGCTCAGTTTGGGACTTGGGAAAGCTGCACCGACTTACGGCGTCGTCCGTGGCGCAAGGAGGAGGAATAGGACGAGAACGAGAACGAGGAGAAGGAGGAGGAAGAGGACTATGCGGGACTATGCGGAGAAGACGTCCACAGCTCTGTCAGCACTATGGAGCCTTGAGGTTTGCGGGGCCCCTCTGCTCGAGGGGGGGCCCACGAAGAAAAACTCAGCCAACAAAGAATGGAATGCCCCGCACCGCAGGGACCCCCAGCAGGCCCAGCAGCCCCCCCCAGTAGGGCAGCCAGGGCCAAACGACCCCAGGGCGTGATGTGGCCGCACCGGAAGCGCCGTGCAGCCGCACTGCCCTGGTGGGGATTGGGGCCCCAAGCGCCAGCAGTCGGGCCCCCGCTTCCTGCACCTCGCCGCGCCCTCGGACCAGGCGACGGGTGCCGCCGAACCGCGGTCCAGTGGACTCTGCAGGCGCGCGTCGCAGGCCCGAGGGAGCCCGCGCAGGAGACCGAGCTGTTAGGCTTGATCTCCAGCCCGCCCCCCGAGGGGACCTCAGGAGGAGGAGGGACACCAAGTAGGATGAGCCCAGGGACCCCGAGCCAGGGGGGCTGGCCACGGGGGGCATCCCGAACCCGCCCCACCCTGTGCCCCACCCCCCCCCAGGAGAGGGACCCCCAGGGGGCCTGGGCGCCCACGCCCCCCCGCCAGTCCTGCGGTTGGTCACCGGCTTATTTTTTTACCCCGCCGATACGAGCGGCACCGACCACCCGCCAGCTCCGCTGGCGGAGACTCCCCGGCTATCCCGATGTGCTCACCGGGCCCCCGGCTTGTGCGGGGGGGGAGGAGGAAGAGGAGGGGGGATGGAGGGATTATGAGGATGAGGATGAGGATGAGGATGAAGAAGGCAATGAATGATCGTCGATCGGTTTTTATCGTGGACCCTGCACCCTCTCCTCGTCTGTTGCTATATCCCTGCTCAAGTGTTGCTGATCACCGAGGGAAGCAGGGAGACCGACTTGCTTGGGCTGCCGCTGCACGCAGGGCCCGCGGGGTCGTCGATTGCGGCTGGATCGGGGGGCGCCGCGGAAGTTCAGGAGCTCGGCCAGGTCATCGAGAGAGAGACGAGGGACCCCTGGAGCGCGCTGCTGGACCACTTGCACAAGTACCGGTACATCGACGGGTGGAACCCTGGCGGCGCGAAGGCGAGGATCGCGGCCCCTTATATGGCCCTGCTCTACAAGAACGGGGAGGCGGCGTCGGAGACGGCGAGCTGGTGGATCTCAGAGAAGCAGCCCTACACTTGCCACGCCGCCCAGGAGTTCCTACTGCTTGCGATGATCCTGGACAAGATGATCGCGGACCAGAAGGAGGATCTCATGAATAGTGCTGCCTGCGAGATCCTGCGCCGTCGGATGCACGGGCTGCACCTGGCTTTCCAGAGCGAACATCGGCAGGCATACTGGAAGCAACCTCGTGGGAAACAGGGTTCAAAATGGAAGTCCAAGGCCCAGTGGGAACTCAGCGACCAGCACGACGCGCGCGCGCTGGACGCAAACGAGTTGACGATGCCCGGGGCCGACAAAGAAACGCGGCTCAGGCTGGGGAGTGCGCCGTTGAACAAGCATTCGTCGAAGGTCCCGGGCGGGCCCCGCGAAGGGGCGGGAGGCGACTGGCTTCCTACCCCCTTCCTTCGCCAGCCTCCAGAGGTCGGGGGGCCCGCGCTCGAGTGGCGCGCCGTGCGCTCAGCTATCTGGTCTTCGCGGCGGCTGGGCTCTGTGAACTTTTTGATGGTCGGCGCCATCCGCCTCGTGACATCGAGTTCCGCTTCCTCTCCGGTCGGATGCTTGCCCGACGGGGGTCCTCGGGGCCCAGTGGCGAACCTGCCGTTCCTCGCATCGCCCCCCCCAGAGTGGCCGCGTGGGCTGGAGAGGCCGAAGCACGCGGTCAGCGAGGTGCTCTTGGAGCGCGCAAATCAGGCCGCCCCCTCGCTCAGCGGGCTATGCCTGGGGAGGTTGGGGCTCGCGTTAATGCCTGTGCCTTGCCATGTGCGGGCCCGGGCCTCGTGGGCGACGGCATCTGCGATGTCGCGGGACCTCGTGAAGCATATCTGGGGTGGGGTTTGCCGTTGGATTGCCGTCGAGGAAAGAAAAGTCAGAGGGAGTTGCATTTCTGCAGCTGACCCGCTCGGCCCGCTGGAAGGCGGGTGGCAGCGGCAAAAAGGTCGACAAGGGAGAGCTCCAGCGAGGGGGCGTATGTCCGCGCCGCCCGTCGGAGGTCAGTCCACCGCCTCGAGGGGCGAAGCCGGTCCAGTTGGCGTCGGCGCCTCCCCCGCGGCGGCGGACTTCCTCGCGACCCCGAAGGGCGCGATCGAGGGCGA